GCCCTTCACCCAGCCCTTCACCCAGCCCTTCACTGAGCCCTCCCTGTCCTGTCCCCCCAGACTACATCGTGCAGTTCGAGGAGGATCGCTTCCAGCCGGGAATGTGGCACAACCACTCCAGGTACCCCGGGAGCGTCAACTCGGCCGTGCTGAGCCTGGCCCCGTACGTCAACTACCAGTTCCGGGTGATCGCCGTCAACGACGTGGGCAGCAGCGTGCCCAGCGTGCCCTCGGAGCGGTACCAGACCAACGGGGCACGTGAGTTCCCCCCGGCCCCCCTGCCAGGCTGATCCACCCCAGGGGGGCTCTTCCCTTGTGGTGTGTGACCCCACAAACCTCACAGTGCGTGAACCCACAAACCTCGTGGTGCGTGACCCCAGAAACCTTGTGGGGTGAGACCCCACAAATCTCGTGGTGTGAGATCCCACAACCCTCGTGGTGTGAGACTCCACAAACCTTGTGGTGCATGACCCCACAAACCTCATGGTGTGTGACCCCACAGACCTCGTGGTGTGTGACCCCAGAAACCTCAGGGGGTGTGACCCCACAAACCTCACAGAGTGTGACCCCACAAACCTCACAGAGTGTGACCCCAGAAAACTTGTGGTGTGAGACCCCACAAACCTTGTGCTGTATGACCCCACAGACCTCATGGTGTGTGACCCCACAACCCTCGTGGTGCGTGACTCCAGAAACCTTATGGTGTGTGATCCCACAAACCCCGTTGGGGTGTGACCCCACAAACCTCACGATATGTGACCCCACAACCCTCGTGGTGCGTGACCCGAGGTTTAAGTTGGGCATTAGGAAGAGGTTCTTCACAGAGAGCACTGGAATGGGGTGCCCAGGGAGGTGTTTAAGAGGAAACTGGACGTGGCACTCGGTGCCCTGGTCCAGGTGACAAGGTGCTGTTGGCTCAGAGGTTGGACTCCACGATCTCTGAGGTCCTTTCCAACCTGTTCTGTGACACCCAGGAATGAGCTGGGCTGGGATGTTCTGTCTCCAACCCTCCAGCCCGTGGCTGTCGAGCTGCAGAGCAGCAAAGCTCAAGTGGAAACACTCACGCCAAGGTCACTCCAGTGGAACCTGCTGAAGGAAACCCCTGGTTTCAGCTTAAAGGGGAGCTTTCTAAAGAGGGTTTTTCATCCTTTCTGACCACAGGAAGCTCAGGAGTCTGTTGGAAAATGAGACTCAAGTGCAAACTAACCACCAGCAAAAGGCACTTTGTTCCAAGGTTGCTCATTCATTGTCAGAGCTGAGCAGGAGCCCAGACTGGTGCTGGGAGGGTGGGCAGGCCCTGGCACAGGTTGCCCAGAGAAACTGTGGCTGCCCCATCCCTGGAAGTGTCCAAGGCCAGGTTGGAGCAACCTGGGCTAGTGGAAGGTGTCCCTGCCCATGGCAGGGGGTGGCACTGGGTGATCTTTAAGGTCCCTTCAACCCAAACCATTCCATGCTGCAGATGTAACCACGCTCCAACCCACAACCCAGACTCAGCTCTTCACTTTGCCTGCCCAGTGCTTTGTTTGTTGGACAACACACGGGAGAATGGGAAAATTCCCACTGGGGAATTCTCGGGAAGCTCAGGAGTTCTGCTGCATTTCTCTTTTTCCCCCCCATTGCCCAGAGATTCCTGCAGGATCTGCTGGCATCTAGTGTTGGCTCCTGACACTGCTCGGGTTTCCAAGGGACGGGCTCTGCTCCTGGGGCTGCTGCTCAAAGGCTGCCTTTCAAAGATTTAGGACATTTGGGGGGGGAAAAAAAAAAGAAAAAAAAAAAAGAAAACGAGCCTCCTAAATAAACGGCCTGGTTTTTTCAAGAGTACTGAGAGCCTCATGTTCCATTAACCTGAATGGGAACTTCTGGAAAAATCAGGCCATTAACTTCTGCCTTGGAAGTGCTTCTGGCTCGCACAGTTAAAGGGGTTTTAACCACTCAGAAGATCATTTTTTCAACGTTATAAAATGCCCAATTTTTTATTTTTTTTTTATTTTTTACAATGTGAATCTCAGGTCCTGAAATCAACCCGACGGGAGTTCAGGGTGCAGGGACCCAAAAAAACAACATGGAGATCACCTGGACGGTGAGTTCCCTGATGCCTTTTGGGCCTGGAGTGAGGGGATGAGGGGAAACGGCTTCAAAGGGGCAGAGGGCAGGGATAGATGGGATATTGGGAAAAAATTCCTCCCTGGGAGGCTGGGGAGGCCCTGGCACAGGTTGCCCAGAGAAGCTGTGGCTGCCCCATCCCTGGAAGTGTCCAAGGCCAGGTTGGATAAACTTGGAGCAACCTGGGCTGGTGGAAGGTGTCCCTGCCCAGGGTAGGGGGTGGGATGGGAAGATATTTAAGTACCTCCCCAACCCAGGCCAGTCTCTGATGATTCTGTGACGAAATAAAAAGCAGAGGACACAAGAGAGGCCGTTGCTAGTGCCTAGAAGAAGGTTTGTGATTAAAAAAAAAAATCATTTTCAATGATGTAAATCAAACAAAACGTGGTGAATAACAGAGAAGTCAGGGAAGATCATCCAAGAGACAGGTTCTCAGTAGTACAGAGGATTTACAGAGCAGCTCTTGCTGTGCTTTGTGCACCACCAGGTGTCATCCACAAACAAGCCATGAGCTGTGAGGAGGCTTGAAATTGCAGTGGGAATACAGGCTGGAATACGAGGATAATATATATGGGATATATTCTGTATTATGCACACATTTGATTTATTATATAGAATATATATGTAAGCAACCTGAGCTAGTGGAAGGTGTCCCTGCCCATGGCAGGGGGTTGGAATGAGACAAGTTTAACGTCCCTTCCAACCCAAACCATTCCAGGATTTTATGGTTCTAGGAGTGTAAGGTTCTTGTTCCCGCCTTGGCTCTGGAGGGCAGGAACCAGGTACGTTCTTGTTCCCACTCCCTTTTGGGAACAGAGATCTGAGATTTGCTGATGGAACCCGAAACCAGCCCCAGCTGCCCCCAGGAACCTTTGGGGGCTCCTTGCAGAGCAACACGGGCTGTTTTTCTCCCTCTCACTTCCTCTCTCTGTTCCGGTCCATGAAGCCCCTGAATGCAACTCAAGCTTATGGGCCCAACCTCAGGTACATCGTGCGCTGGCGGCGCCGGGACCCGCGGGGCAGTTGGTACAACGAGACGGTGAAGGGCCCCCGGCACGTGGTGTGGAACACCCCCATCTACGTCCCCTACGAGATCAAGGTGCAGGCGGAGAACGACTTCGGCAGAGCCCCCGAGCCCGACACCTACATCGGCTACTCCGGGGAGGACTGTGAGTACCCGCCCGGCAGGAGCCCAGGGCAGGACCTGGGGGTTTGCCCCCCGTGCCCCAGGCTTGATTTGGCACAAAAATCCACTCCCGGCTCGGATGGGGCTTGGAGCGACCTGGGATAGCGGAACTGGGATGAGCTTCGGGGTCCCTTCCGACCCAAAGCATCCCATGGTTCCACGACTTGGCCGCTGGCTCCTGTTCTGGGCTCTGCCTGCACGACCCAAGTCACCCACCCCGCTCCCTTTGCTCTCTGTGACGCCCAGGCAGCGCTTCGAGGCTGGAAAACCACAGGATTCCCCTCGGGATGAGCTCTGGCTGCGTCCCAATAAGTGGCATTAACGTTTTGTGCCCCCCCCCGACACGCGCCGAGCGCCGAGTTCATCTCGGAGGAGAGGTTTTATGAATGGCCAAAAGGTCCTTAGTTCACCCTGCTCTGGATTCTTGTGCCTCTCTGATAAAGCCTCAGCTAAGCCCCAGCCTGGGCTCCTGTTTGCAGCACGTTGGCTCAGCTTATCTTCCTTTAAACCTCTCCCCTGGTCACGCAGAACAGCTCGTTTAATTCTCTTTTTCTGGGCTGCTGGGTATCACCTCCTGTGCTTGCAGCACCCGAGACTCTCAACCACGATTATCCTCATCCTGCTGGGATAATGTGGTTCGCTGCCAACTGCTTTATCTTTGGAGAAATATATATTAGTTTGTGGTTTGGGGTCCCTGGCTGTGGGAACATCGGGATTACTGAGAAGGAAGGGGGATAAACCAGGTGAGAACCCACGACCCCAGACTTGGAGTCAAGGGGCACAAACAGGGCACAGAAATCCGAATGAAAGCTGCAGTTTTGGGGCTGTGATGGCACAGACAACACACCCTCCAGCTGGGCACCTCCTGGAGGAAACAGGGCAAGGGGAAGGAAAATGGGTAGAAAATGTGGGAATCAGGGCATGGAAGCAAAGCTGGACCCAGCTGAGAGGTCATTACTGGGAAAGCTCTGCGAGCTCCTGGCTGCACCACCATCTCTGGGCACTACAAGGGTGGGTTTTTTTTCTAGTTTCTCTTGAAAATCTGTGCCATAATTATGAGTTTTGGGAGGATCTGAAAAAGCCACCACATGTGTGTGTGTTATATGGAGGCAAACCAGGGAGACCAAAGCTCCTGTATCACAGCCCAGGCACAGATATGCTCTGCCTGTGCCTGAGGGGTGGGACAGGTTAGAAAAACCACAAAAAACCCTCAAAAAATAGCCTCTGTCATGTCTGAGCTGCTTCACAAATAACTGCAGATTGCTACACACAGCAGGTGAGCTGTGAACAGGGGGTAAAGCCCCAAGTGGATCAACAGCAGGTTCTGGGCAAATTCGGATTAATGGCTGTGGAAATGAGGTAGTTTGGGAACCGTGGGGTCTGACAGTGGCCAAGGTGAGGCAGGAGGGGCTGGATGTGCTGGATCCTTCGCTGGGAGAGGGAGGGAGGGGAGCCAGACCCCTTCCTTGCAGCAGGAAACCCTGCTGTGAACTGGATCATGAGTGACCCAGGACTCGTTTTCTTCCCCCTTCCCGTGGAAGGAGGCAGAGCAGTCGTGGGGCTGCTGCTCCCCCAGCAGTGCTGGGATGGGACCCCCCAGGGCCAGGGCAGAGGGGTGTCCGTGTGTCCGTGTGTCTGACCCTGCTGGGGGGCCCCAATGCCCACTGGGCTCTATCCCACTGTGCTCTATCCCTGCCCGCCCAGATCCCAAGGCTGCGCCCACGGACGTTAGGATTAGAGTCCTAAACAGCACTGCCGTGGCTCTGACCTGGACCAGAGTGCACCTGGACACCATCCAGGGACAGCTGAAGGAGTACAGAGTGAGCAGCCCCAAACCTCTCGGGCACTGACTTTTAACACATCTAATCAGCTCACAGAATTCCCGGCTGGCTCCGGCGGCGGCGCTGCCGGGGATGGGGATGGGGATGGGGATGAGAGGGAACCTCCTCTGGCCACCAGGACCCCTGGGCTGCTCTGGGTGCAGAGCACAGGGGCTGAGCTCTGCTCTGGGGCAGCGAGGAAGGGTTGCTTTGCTCTCTGTGGGGTCGGGGACATCTCCCGTTGGCTCCCCCGGGGCTGGGATGGCCCTTCCCGGAGCCTCCCTGCAGGATCTGGGGCTCTCAGAGCAAACAGGGCTGTCCTTGTGCACCCCCAGAGGGGCTGGGGGGGTCCTACCCCTGCAGGAAGGTGGCTCTGCGGGGGGTGACCTCAAACAGGATCGGTTTTGTGTCATCCCCAAAGTTCCCACGTGGGATTTCAATGAACCCCAGCCCTGCCAAGCCCGAACCCCGCGGGTTGTACTGACTGGTCACTCCGGGCAGCCTGGATCCTGCTGTGCTTCGGGGTTTTCTGCTAATATTTGCTATTTACTGCTGGGGTAAACTACTAATCTCTAGGTACAGAGGATGGACCCTGTTCCAAACAAGCACAAGTCTGAGCAGGGCCCTCCTCTCAGCGTTTCAGACCAAAACCACGTGCCCTGCAAACAGTTCCAGCCCCTCAAATCCAATAATCCGCTGGGCTCTGCTCTCCTGGTTCTGCCTCTGCTCTTCTTCTGGTCCATTTTCTGAATGAATCTTATTTCTGCACGAAATAAGATTTGCAGTGAGGGCTTTGAATGGGAGACTTTCCAAAATCCAGGCTTTCCTTTGTGCCTGGCCGTGTCCCACCTTTCCTCGGGTGGAAAGGGAGAATCACTTGATGTTCAGCTCTTGGGAACCAGAGGCAGCTTTTAGTCTGAGCTTGGTGGTTTTGCTCTGTCCCTTTTGGCAAGCACTTAACCCTCTTCCTCGGGTAACACCCCTGACCTGGTGGGTCAGGGTGGAGCTGGTGGGACCTGGAGCTTCACTAATTGCTCTAAAAGCTGCTCTTTGCAAAGTTCTGCTCTTGGTTTATACATAGATATTTTTTTTTCCTAAAAAAAATTGCATTTCCACGGGAAAAGCTTCACTTGCCATGCATGTTTCTTGAAGGCCTATTTCTGGAGAGACAGTAGCTTGCTGAAGAACCTGTGGGTCTCCAGAAAACGGCAGTTTGTGAGTTTTCCTGGAGACAGAAACCGGGGCATAGTGTCCAGGCTGTTCCCTTACAGCAACTACAAACTTGAGATGGTTGTGACCAACGGCCGAGGAGATGGGCCCCGCAGTGAGGTGAAGGAATTCCCCACTCCCGAAGGAGGTACGTTCCCAGGGGGGCTGGGAATGTCCCTGTCCCTCCATCCCGACGGGAAGGGTTCGGGCGGAGAGGCCGATTTTAGGGACCGGCTGAGCAGAACCAGCACGGAATTTTAGCACAGAAAAAAGCTGGGAAAGAACATTAGCCCGGAATTTTAGCACGGAGGGAAACCCAGAAAAGAAAATTAGCACTGACTGGATTCCTCCTGCTCTGGAAAAGGCAGGAAAATCTGCCCCAGCCCCAAGTCCTTTTGCTGTGGAAGGACATCAGCAGCACCTCTGTCGGGCTCTCCAGGCAGGAGCCCCTCGTTGTGCTGTTTGAGGAGCTCGTGGCGAGGATGAACTTGGGGTTTTCATTTCCCTGCTGTCACGGGGGCTCTTCATAGACCCAGGGAGGAGTTGGGGCTGCACTTCCAGTGCCTGGCAGTGACTCTTCCCGCAGCACAAGGGAGGGTTTGGCACAGGGTGCTCCAAAAACGCGAGGGGAGGATTTGCCAGGGGCAAATCTCGTCTCAAAATCCAGGGGGATCTTCCTCTTTGCCTTCCTCTTCAGCCTGCCCCTGCTGCACAGGAGCAGCAGCTCTCAGCCCTGCCCCTTCCTCGGGATTTTCTGGGATGCTGTCACCCTTTCCTAAGGATTTTCTATTGACCAGCCATAATTAGGATTGTTTTAAGAGGAAGGACTCGGTTCCTGTAGGTTTTGCAGTGAAGTGCTTTGTGAGAGGTGATTATCTGTGTGCTGGAGGCACAAGGATTTGGGGTGGCTGTAGATATTCGGGGTGGCTGCAGCCATTTGGGGTGACTCTAGGCATTTGGGGTGGCTGTAAGGATACATGGGTGGCATTAATTGAAACAATTACAGCAGATTATACCCCTGTCACGAGGAAAACGTTGATTTTTTTGTTTTTCCCATACCACTAAGCTATTTTATTGACTACATATTGACATTTAGGAGACTGGATGACACTCTGCACAACAGGCTGGTTAAAAATAAACCCCCCCCCTAATCTCCCAGATCAGCAAGCCAAGCTCTTTCCCCAATTAAGGCACCGCAATAATGAGTCAACCAGGAGAATAATTTAATTCAGGGCTGTGTAATTCTTTCCTTCCTTCACTGGCTTTGAACCAGCAGTGATAACCCAGGGTAAGGACACTGGAGACACGCAGATCTCCAGACACTGATACCACACTTGGTGATAAGAGAAGCTGCTGTCCTGCTTTTTGTGGCTTGGAGGGAGAAAGCGAGGAGATGAAAACCTCGGGGTGGGTGGGGGATGCAAAAAAAAAGTCTGTTTACAACAGAGAGAAGCGGGGATTGAAGGGAGTCCCAGCTCTGCTTCAGCTGCAGCACCTTCTGTGGCCTCACTGGGGGGTTCCCAGCACGGCACGGGCACTTTGGGATGGGTTTGCATGCAGAGCTGCTCTGCTTTCTGCTCCTGCACACCCCAGCTGCTGCTGGCACTTGGTTTCTGGCACAGATCCTCGTTCAGGCCGTTCCTGCCCTTTGCTGTGTGTCTGTGGGGCTGTTTTGGAGTGTCCCGAGCGTGTGGCGTGTTCAGCAGTGGCAGGTGTGTTATCTCGTGTGTTTTCTCTTCTCTCCCTCTCCTCCCTGCTCCCTCCTCTCCCAAGTGCCCAGCTCCCCCAGGTACCTGAGAATCCGACAGCCCAACCTGGAAATCATCAATCTGGAGTGGGATCACCCCGAGCATCCCAATGGAGTCCTCACAGGATACAGCCTTAGATACCAACCCTGTACGTTCCACCTTCTCCTCTGAGTGATAATCCTTTAGTAACTGCTGGTTCCCTCCTCCCCCAGCCCAGGGATCTCTCCATAAGGAGCTGGAGACTTCCATGATGAGCCAAGCTGGTGTTGAGAGGGGTCCTGGCACAGTGGAGTTAGCCAGGGAGGGTGGGGGGTGCCCCAAGCAGTTCCCCAGCCTCGGCTATTGAAGGGAAATAAGTTTGATCTGAGTTTTAAGCTCAGTCCCAGCAGTTCCTGTGCTCTCTCAAACACAAGCTCCTGCCCAGAGCCCACACAACGCCTGGGGCAGCAGAGCCTTCCCTGACCACCTGGATGTCCCCACCAGAGTGTCCCCAAGTGCCCCAAACGAAGAGTCTTTACCAGCAGCAGCAGCAGCTCCGAGCACGAGGCCCCGCAGTGAGGCTGGAGGAGCTGGAGGGCACCTGAACCTGAACCCACCACCCCCTGGCTTTCCTCCCCAGTTAACGGGACCAAAACGGGCCGAACCGTGGTGGAGAACTTCTCCCCCAACCAGACCAGGTTCACCCTGCAGAGGACAGACCCCATCTCCCGCTACCGCTTCGTGCTGCGCGCCCGCACCCAGGTGGGAGAAGGAGAGCCCGTAGTGGAGGAGTCCCCAGCCCTGCTGGACGAAGGTATGTGCAGCAGCAACAGCTCCTGGCTCTGCCCAGGGCCTGGGGGGGTGATGGGACACGGGGGTGAGCCAAAAACTGCGGGTCAGAGGAGCAGGAGGAGCACAGAGACAGCACAGTGAGACAGCACAGCCACTCTGCTGCAGGGACAGAGGGACTGGTCAGGACCAAAGTGCTGCAGCAGAAACGCCACAGAGGGGACTGAGAGACTGTCCTGGGCTCCAGGGAGCCACCTCAGTGTCCCCCCACAGGCAGTGAGGGTTCCTCACGTGCCCTGGAGAGCAGGAGGGCACTGTGGGGTTGTGCTGCCAGAGGGCAGGGTTAGATCAGATATCGGGTTCTGAAGCCCTGGCACAGTTTGCTCAGAGAAGCTGCAGCTGCCCCATCCCTGGAAGTGTCCAAGGCCAGGTTGGACGGGGCTTGGAGCAACCTGGGATAGTGGAAGGTGTCCCTGCCCACGGCAGGGGGTGGCACTGGGTGATCTTTAAGATCCCAACCAACCCAAACCTGCTGTGATTCTGTGACCTCGCTCTCCTCTCGCTGAAGGTGATTTAATTTGCCCCTCTGTTGTCTCAGTAGGAGCTGAATAAGGGGCAGATGGGGGTGGCTTTTAGGTGGCTCAGAGGGGGTGAAGCAGCTGCCACCTCCCAGTCACCCCACCCAGGATGAATCCCCAACTCTCAGACTCACAATCAGATAAAATGCCCATCGTGGGACATCCATCAAACCAAGTGAGAGTTCAGGAGCCCTGAGGGAACGTGGGGAGACAGAAGGCGGCTCTTTCCTCTTTATCCTCCTCTAACAGACCCTTGATTGGGTTAGTGCTCTGATTTAATGGGGGCTTTGTCTCCTTCCCTCCATCTCCCCCTCCCCAGCTAATGGCTCTGAGTAGGAAAAGTAATTCCTGCCATGACCCAGTGGAAATGAAATGCTTCCCAACACCTCTTAGGTGGGTTCCAGCGGCACTAATTGATGGGAGATGGGGCTGTGGGGGAAAACAGCAGCCAAGTTACACCCTGGCAATCGTGAGAGGGGCTTTAAAGAGGAGCTTTGCTGAGCTGTTAGAGCACAGCAGCTGGATTGAGGGTGATGGGCAAGATTTTTAGTTGTTTCTCATGCATTTGCTCTCCTGGGTTTGTTTCTGTGCACTGGCATCAGCCACTGGTGGCAGTGAACAGTGAAATAACAGCCAGAACCAACTCCTGGGGTGTAAAACTTATTAGATTTGTCTCAGGAGATAGCAGGCAGTGCCTACACCCGTGTGCCAAGGCAAGGCAACCCTCTCTGCAGGGTTTGGGGTGGCACCTGATGCTCCCCTGCTGGAAAGGACAAAGCACTGGCCAATCGAGCAGCAAGAAAAATCAAAAGTAGTTTACAGTCAAGTTCCAGAAACTTTGGGGGCAAAGTTTGCCCCCCAAAACACGAGACCCTGAGGGCCAACGTGACCTGGGTGAGTTTTGCTCGTGCCAGGCAGGTTGGGCACCACGAGCAGCTCCGAGTGCCCACCTTGATGGGAAGGCACCTGCTGCAAAGGTGAGGTTGGGATTGAAAGAAAAGAAGCAGAATAAGAAAATTAAACCCACGAATGGGTTTTTTCTTGGGTAATTGTTTTCTGCTCACCAGACTCCTTCCCCAGGGAGGTTCAAACCAAACACCTGCACGGGGCAGGACGAGATGTGAGTGATTCCAGGGGAAATTGGGGGAAATTCGGGGTCCAAACTGGGATTGGATCTAAGCAGCTGCTTAAACACTTGGCTCAAAGACACCCCTGGCCCCTCTGCTGAGGGGCTGGGGGGTGTTGGAGCTGGGGTCTGTGTTACCTGGTGTGGTTTCTCCGCCGTGCCCGAGGGGCCAGCCCTGCTGTGCCAGGCTGTGCTCCCACTGCCTTCACTCCCTCTCTCCCAGCTCCCTCCTGACTGTGTGTGAGTGGTCCCGAGTGTCCCGGGGGTGTGCTCTGGTTGTTTGACACCTTCCTGTGTTTTCTCTCCCCTTCTCTACCGTGCTCTCTCCGTGCTCTCTCCGTACCCCCCTCTCTGCCCCTGGCGCTGCCCTCGAAGCCACGCCAACCCCAGGTACCGGATTTGGAGGTAACAGGCATGGGGCAAAAAGGGGCTTTCTGTGCTGCCAACTCAAGCATGAGCTCCGTTAACCCTTTCAATGGCAAAGCCGAGCCTCAAGGAGGGGCCAAACTGGGCATTCGAAACCACGGCAGGTAAAAACAAAGCCCCCACGGGCAGGAGGGACGAGGGCAGGCTCCACAGCAGGGCCTGCAAAGATCAAAATCTTCCCTGAGAGGGGCTTAAAAAGCTCCCAGATGCCTAATGATGGCCAAAGCCACCACACCCTGCAGTGGCCACACACTGAACAAGCCCAAAGGAGAGCCAAGCTGCCCATTAAAGAGGGGTTTTTTCCCTGTTAAAGAGGGATTGCTCTATTAAAAAGATTTTTTTCCCTATTAAAGAGGGGGTTTTTGCTCCGTTAAAGAGGTTTTTTCCTCTGTTAAGGAGGAGTTTTTTCCCCTGGGGAAGAGGTTTTTAATCCCAGCTCTGCACAAAGCCCCTCTCCCTTTTTAAAGCCTCGCCATCCCCGCCCTGCAAAACGCAGAATATTTCCAGCCAGCCCTGACCTGTTGGTGCCAACCACAGCACCTCTGCCCTGCCCTGGGGGGTCTGAGCTGGATTTTTCCCCCCAGGAAGCTGCAGTGCCAGCCCTGGCACACGTGGGGGGGTGTTTTTGGTGCACGGGCACCACTCAGCTCCCGTGGCTGTGCCAGGGCAGTGCCAGGGCTGTGCCAGGGCTGTGGGGCAGGAGCATCCCCTTGTTGCCAGGTGCCCATTGAAAGGGTTAAGGACACGTTTGTGCCACAGCTGTGCATGTTCTGCATGGGGGCTGTTGCTGGCTTGGCCCTCGGGGCTCTCCCTGCAGCAGCAAAGCAGGGATGAGCCTCTTCCAGCCCCGGGGGCAGCACCTCCTCCCGCTTCCATGGGAAACCAACCCCCCAGGACCGCCCTGCAAGGCCCAGAGCACAACTTCTGCTTCCCAGGGAAGGATTCCCACCCCTGCCAGACGTGACTTCCCGCTCCCAGCACAGCTCTGAGCCCTGTGCCAGCCGTGGCACGGCCCGTGCCCGGCTCAGAAGGGGGGGCAGTGGCAGAGCCAGGGGGTGCAGCCACCCCGAAACCCACCCCCCGAACGCTGTGGGGCAGCTTTGGGGGTGAGTGGAGCAGCAGCACTTCGTCCCCCAGAGCTCCTGCTTTGCCCTGGGGCTGCCCAAGGAGGAACAGCTTCCCAGGGAAGGCTCTTCCCGAGGGATACAAGTGCAGGACCTGCTCTCTGCACCTGTAGGTTTTGCTTTCCTGCCTCGGAGATGGTTCCCCTCCTTTGGTTTGGTTGCAGTGGTGTCTCTACCCTGTGTGATTTTGCATTTTTTTTTTTTCCTTTCTGAACAGAGGCCAATCTTTTCCTCTTTTCCTCTTCTGTCTTTTCCTCTTCTCTTCCCCACCCCAAAAAAAGAAAGAAAAGGGGGTAACAGATTGGTCTGCTTTGGGTGGTGGAGACCTGAAAAGGGACATATTTTGGCTTAGAGGATCTCCATCCTCCAAGTCCTGGAGGGCTGTGCTGCTGCTACAGCTCCTCCTCCACCCAGGGTTTAGCTCATCCACAAGAATCCGGATTTTCTTCGTGGATCAGGATCACCCAAAGTCCTTTTCTACCTGCAGTGGATGTTGCTGAACTTCGACAGCACAACCTGACCTCTTTATCCTTCCAGCTTCGTTTCACTTCAGGCTTCCTTTCTTACCCCACCAGATGAATTAGCTGCCATTTAAAGGCTGATTCTCCAGGTACAGAGCCCTTCCCTCTGGTTTTCACCTTCCAGCAGAGGAAACAGTGAATTGGAGAGCTGGGCCAGGGCTGAGAGGGGCCTGAGATGAGGCAGTGGAGCAGGAGGTCACCCAGAGCCGCCTCAGCTCCCTCCCAGCATCCCCAGCAGGGGCAGCCAGGGCAGAATCAGCCACGGGAAGATCCATCTCCCATCCCCGTCCTGCTCTTTTGCTGGATGTCATTTCTCCTCAGGCCTCAGTGTTACACAGTCTGAGCAGGGTTTGGCTCCAGAGGCTGTTTCTCTTCCTAACAAGTCCTGGTTCCACTGAAATGCTGCTTGACCTCTCCCAACTCCGCTCACTGACCTAGATTGGGTGGATTTTTATGGATCCACGGTGAAAGTTGCCTTAAATTGCAGTAAAACGCTCTTTGCCACGGGCTGCTGGCACTGAGAGGGAATTAAAAGGTCTTTTTTTGCAGGGGTAACCTCACCCAGGCAGGGTCAGGGCTGGGCTGTGTGGGCAGGAGGAACTGGACCAGGCTGATGAAATCAAAGTGAAGTGCAGGGACTTTCCCTCAGGAAAGGCTTTACCTTTCCTAAGCCAGACCTGGATAACAGGAGAGGTGATATGGGAAAAGAGAAGACATTTTATTTACGCTCCGAGTGAGAAAAAAAAAATCAAAACTGGATCCTCTCCCACCCCTGTGTGTGTGTGGAAAAACATCATCAGGGACCATAAAAAGTATTGGTTTTAGACTTGAAGGGAAAAAAAATGACTTTCCTCTGTTCTCTTCGCGTTGTTCCATAATTAGGAATTGGAGGAGAAAGATCCTATTGTTCATTTTAGGAACAGAGAGAACTGCTGACCCCTCTCTTTTGGAGGCTGCTCAATCACCCCTTTCTATTCTCGAATCTCTTATCTTTTCACATCAGACTTGCAGCACTTTCATGGTAAAGACTTCACAATTTCCTCCCGTTGTCACAAAGTGAGAGGGCGAGAGGAAAAAATAAAATCTCTGAGAACGCATTTGCCCAATCGTCAAAAATCATGAAAAATTAATCCAATTTCTCCAAGCCTAATTATTTCGCAGACACACCCAAGGGAAAGCTGTTACTCCAGCCCTAACAACGCATTAAAAAGCACTTTAAATAATTAAAGAGCGGCATAGACGGGGATTGTTTCCTGTATTTTGCAAAAATAAATGCAGCTACTCCTTTAATTTACTCAGAGCAGGACTTGAGTCCTCTCTGTAGAACCTCCCTCTTTAAATATTGTCTTTTGCTGTTATGATTCTTCCTCTCTGTTGTTTGTTTGTTTGTTTTTTTCTGATCTGAGCTTCAAACAGGTATTTTTTTGTGCGAGGTTTGGGCTCCTTTTTCCTGGTCCAGTCACAGGAGCAAAGCAGCAGCACTGAAACTATTAATTGCTGCACCCCCAGCCCCTCATCAGAGCCCATCTCCCCCAGTCCTGCGAGGAAATAATGATGCTTCTTGCAGACAACCGGGCAAAGAGGGCAATTAATGAGCTGAGTGCTCGTTTAGAGGTTTCCAGGAAGGTGGGAGCAGGGGCTGGGAGTGGCTGTTGCTGGTTTTTACTCCGAGTTTCCTGGGGGATAAACCTGCTCCAAGGACTGGTTTTTAGGGGGTTGCTCTGCCCCGGGATGGGGGGAGTGGAGGCTCCTTCTCCTCTTTCAGCGAGCGGGGATTTGTTCCCCATCCCACAGATTCCAGATCCTGCTCCTAAACTTGGAGGCAGCTGCTGTCAGAGCTGTGGGAGCTCAGGAGAACATTTCCAGCCACTCTGCAAAGCCCAGGAAGGTCCTGCCCGCTGAGGCACCCCCGGCTTTGGGAGGACGGGGGTGACTTCCAGGCTTCCAAAGGGAGCCGTGCTGGGAACACCCGCCCGAGCCTCCCTCTGCCCCTTGGAGCAGGGATGTGGCACTCCCTGGTGAGCCCTGCCAGGCTGGGCAGGGGCTGGGGGCTCAGGAGCCCCAGGGAAGGGGCTCTCCCCGTGCTCAGGTGCCCTTTTCTTCGGGAGACTCCGGGATCGCTCTGATCTCTGTCCCAGCCCGCCTTGATCCCCCCCTGCTCCGAGAGCAGCTTCATTAGGGGATGGATTTCAAAGCCCAGCAAATGCCCCTCATCTCGTCTCTGCCCCGAATCTCCCAGCTGAGCTTTTCTCCGGCACACATTTCATATTCAAGCGCTAATGAGGCCGTAGCTTTGCATCCCGGGGCAGCTCAGGACTAAATCCCCCCCGACCAGGGGAGCCCTGCTCGGCTCTGCCCTCCCTCCCATCCTCCCCTCTCTGAGCTGCTGCTTCCCAGCTCCCCCAGTCCCCCTCTTCACCTGCTCCTAGTCCTGCCAAGATGATTTTTATCCCCGGTGCCAACTCCCCCTCCCGGCTCTGGCTCAGGGGCTGGGCCCTCGTTATCCTGATGGAATGTGATAGCTCTGCTCCCGGGGATCGCCTCCCCCAGAGCTGCTGCAGGGCTGGGGGGCAAATCCTGCCCGGAATCACCGTCAGCTCAGCCTGGTGCTGAATCCAGGGGGGTCCTGGTGCTGAATCCAGGGGGGTCCTGGTGCTGCAGCTCCCCCTGCGTGTGTTGGGGGCTGCAGGGAACACACAGAGATGATCCCCTGCATCGGGGATAGCGAGGCTTGGACTTATCCCAGATAATCTCTTCCCATCTAAGGCCTAGGGGGGCATTAAAGCTGAATCTCTCCCTCTGCCAAAGCCATTCCAGCAGTGCTGGGCAAAGCAGATGGGCCTGGTAGGTGCTGAGCAGGAGAGGTTTGATGATGCAGAGACTGGGAGCTGGGAGGTTGTACCAGGCTTTCCACCAGCCTCTGCCTTTCAGAAAGTTACTTTCTGCCTTTTTGAGTCTTATTTTCCTCCGAGGGGAGCCAGGGGCTCACAGGGGAGTGCTGAGACTGCATTAGCTGATAACCAGTGTCTCCAGTGCTGTTTGATTGTGTCCAGGGCCAAGCCATCGAGGAGCTGCAGCTCCATCACGTTAATGGAGACATTAACCCAGTGACACCAATCTCTTAACCCCCCAAAAACCCGCTGTGAATCACCAGAGATGGATGCTGGCACTTCCCAACCCAAGGAAGGATTTGTAGCGTGGCCTCAGAGCAGCAAAGTCCTTCACGGGCGAGGGAGGGGAAAAGAAAACCCAGAGCAGCAAAACCCCAACCCCCCTTTTCGCTGCCCCAGGAACTCCCAAGGACAAAGCTGTGCCCTGTCCCAGCCAGGCTGTGTCCCCTCCCTGTCCCCACCACCTCCCCTGGGCTGGGGCAGGGATGGGCTGTGCACGGGGGGGCTTTTTTGGGGGGCTGCATGAGGCTGTCGGGGATGCTGCGGGTACCACCCGGAGAGGATGCTGGGCTGGGGGTTTGGGGTGACTGTGGCTGCTCTTGGTGCACCCCTGGGGCTGGGCTGGGGGTTTGGGGTGACTGTGGCTGCTCTTGGTGCACCCCTGGGGCTGGGCTGGGGGTTTTGGGGTGACTGTGGCTGCTCTTGGTTCACCCCTGGGGCTGGTCTGGGGGTTTTGGGGGCACTGTGGCTGCTCTGGGGGTTTGGGATGTGCTGTAACTGTGGTTCTATTGCAGCTGGGGGCGGTGGGGAGATGGACTGAGCGACCTCCTGCTCTTCTCTGCTTTTGGATCCCTGGCAGGGCTGAGGTTTTAGGGGTTGGGTCTCCTTGGGGGTTGGACTTGGTGAGAAAGAAAGCCCTGGCTTGGTGCTGGGACTCCTTTTCAAGTGCTTTCCTAGAGCTGTTCTTGTCTGTGGGTGATTTTTATCGTGGCTGGTTTCATTTGCCTGAAAGAGGGATTTGTAATCCCTTGATCCACAGGAAGACTAAGTAAATATAATTTAATGTGAGCATCCCAGGGCGAATCTCCTCTCAGTTACCTTTGGTATTTGAAGCAGCATTTCAGCTGCATTTTCCACTGGCAGGTTTGCAGGCCCAAGGCAATGCCCTCCCCTTCAGTGGGACCCTCACCCACGCTCTGGGGTGGGGGTGGAAAGGGCACATTTCCCCCTTCCCGTGGAAACACAGCCCAGGTGAGACGTGGACACGGGAGCCATTTACCAAACAAATTGCTCAGACTTTCCCCCTGGACACCTTGGGGTGTAGCAACCCCTGGGTCTTAATTTAAATGTAAATTTTGAGGGGCAGTGATGGCAAAGCACCATCCATCACTCGCCCACGAGCTAAAATCCACCTTAATGCTGAAGCTGTTCCATCACCAGCAGCATTAGCACAGAGACCAGCCAGGCTGGAAGGAGCTGGGAGGCTGCAGGCTGAGTTGGCAGCTCAGAAATGCTGGAGGTGTAGTCCAGGGGCAGCTGAATTAATGTAATTGCAGCTTGCCTGGCCCACGACAAATGGGATTAGTGTGTTTTCTTAAGAGCTAAATCCCATTTCATTTTTCAGGGAGCTCAGAGTGCTCCCAGCACAGCTCTGGGCAGGGGGATGGATGGTGGCTTTGGGGACAGTCTGTGCAGCCCCAAACCCCCCCCAGCTCTGGGCAGGGGGATGGATGGTGGCTTTGGGGACAGTCTGTGCAGCCCCAAACCCCCCCCAGCTCTGGGCAGGGGGATGGATGGTGGCTTTGGGACAGTCTGTGCAGCCCCAAACCCCCCCCAGCTCTGGGCAGGGGGATGGATGGTGGCTTTGGGGACAGTCTGTGCAGCCCCAAACCCCCCCAGCTCCCTCCTGCTGGAGGGATTTTAGCCCGGGGTAGGGAGGGACCCCGGGGCAGAGCCGAGGCAGAGCAGGAGCAGGTCGTTCAGCCCTGGGCTGGGGATCACCCTGGGGGCACAGGAGGGCGTTTCTGGGGGTATCTCCCCCTTTGCTGCCCCCTCCTCACCCCCAGTGCCTCTCCCAGCCCCCGGACGGGTGCAGGGGGGGACGAGCTCTCCAGCCTCGTGTTCCCGGTGGGATTCGCCGCCTCCCTCCCATCCCACCCGTGCTGTGCTCCCCTCCCCTCTCGTGCCTGCCCAGGCAGTGTGGGGGAGGACAGGGGCAAACCCCCTCCCTTCAGGAGACATCCCAAGCCGGTGTTTCCCTCTCCCAGCCGCCACTGGGACGCCTCCGAGCGCGGTGGAGCAAAGCAGCCCTACAGCCACCCCAACCACCACCACCGCCACAGCAACCACCCCAACTACTCCTGACACAACAACAGCCGCCACAGCTCCAACCACAGCTCCAACCACAGCTCCAACCACAGCTCCAACCACAGCCACCACCACCACCACAACCAGCAGCACCACGGCCGCCGCCGAGAGGGCTCCGGCTGCCACCACAAAGCAGGAGTTGGGTACTGAGCTTTCCTTTTTTTTTTGTTTGGTTTTATTTTCCTCTCGTGGGGAAATATCCCCCCTCTTTAAAAAAAAAAAAAAATTTAGAAAGAGTGGTGCAAACTCAGGGAAGGGAGAAACGAGGAAGAATTTATTCGAGTCTTTCCCGGGGGGAAAAAAAGACCCTTTGGGTTTAGGTCTTAATAGATTTTAATGTATTAAGGGCTTGGCTTAAATAACAATTCACAGTGAGCCTCTGCCATCGAAATTCCCCCTCCACCCCCCCAAAATATATTTTTTTCAGATCAGTTTAATATATTCGTTTTTGCCTAAAAAGGCTTCTTTTCTCTGAAAAGGGGCTTTCCCTTTATTCTGATCCACTGCAAGGCGTCCCCTGCCAAAGATGAGGGACCTCCCTTTGTCCTTAGCCCAGAGAGAGAAAAGAAAACCTTTGGTACAAAATGGCCCCAGAAGATTTTAATTTTTTAATTTTGCAGTTAATTTTTAATTTTTTAAAAATTTTCCAAAACTTTGTATTTTAATTTTTAATTTAATTTTTGTATTTCCCTTATCCGGCCGAAAAAGGCCCCGACACTCAAGTCCAGTGTTTGGAACTTGGAGGTCTTACAACTTCCTGATACACCTATATAAAAAAACCACCCTATTTTAATTTTTCATACTCTTAACCCCTTGAACCCTGCTGGCACCTTCCCCAGAGCCCGCCCAGGATGGGCACAGGGCAGATTTAAGGCATCCCACGCTCCGGGAGTGGCTTTGGGAGGAGCTGGAGGTGCCACAGGCTCGGGAATCCCGGGGCACAAGTGGCTCCTGTTCCTTCAGTGCCACCCTCCTGGTCTCACTGTCGGGGTGACACAGCCCTGCCTGGGGTGTGCTGATGCAGCAGCGCTTGGGAAGGAGGTGGCAAACCCTACAAAGGGCTCTCCAGAGTGTCCTCCTGTATCCCAGGGCCGCTCAGAAGGGGTCCTGGTGCTGCTGGGGAAAGGTGTCACTTCAGATTTAGCACATCAGCCGTCGGCTGAGAGACCTGTCAGCACTTATAGGAGCCTCTGGGTTTGTGCTCCTGCTCTCTGGGGTTGCCACAGCCCACAGGAGAGCTGGGCAGGGGGGGAGTTACAGCACAGGGGGGGTGAGCCAGGGGTTGGCCAGGTCGGGATGAACCTCCCGTGCAATCAGCTGGAACAGGGGGACCAGACTCTGGTTTGGTGGAGGAATATTCCCAGCCAGGTGTGTTTTTTAGGGATGTATCTCCCCGAGCCTTGTTTTTAAAGCACTGCTGTGATGGGGTCTGCAGTTAATAAATAATTGTGGACAGCTACATTCACTTAAAAAGTGAGTCAGGCCAGGAATGCAAACAAAATCTAAAGGTTGGACGGGGCTTGGAGCAACCTGTGCTAGTGGAAGGTGTCCCTGCCCAAGGCAGGGGGTGAAATGAGATGAACTTTAAGGTCCCTTCAACCCAAACCATTCTGGGATGATTCTGCTACTCAGTTCAGACCCCTTTCTTTATATTCTTGCATGAGATTAGCTCAGGGTGGTTAAAAAACCACCAAAACCTTATGCTGGGAGGTCCTGCCTCCACCTGACAGTACCAAAGCAAGGTCATCACCACAACAGTGTCACTGCTAGGTGGGAAAACATTGCTAATTGAAAATAAGTAATGAAGTGGTGAGGCACAGAGCAGGGAGAGGGGATGGGAGTGCAAGAGGAACCAACCAACCCCCCTGGGGACACGAGGGAAGAGGCTGAGCCCTGCTGTGGGGTGTGAGAGGGATTGTGAGAGGGGGTAAGAGCGTTGTGTCAGAGGGATTTTAGGTCACCCCAAAGCACCAGGTCCTTGCGGTGCCCCCAAAATTCCCCCAGGGCCTGCAGTGATTGATCTGTGTTCTAAAACACGAGCTACACCCTGAATAACAACAAGGTGTGACCGACCCAACACCTCTAAACACTCTCTGGAGGGGGGGTTGGCTCCACTCCAGCAGAGCCCGAGTTCATCCGCCCTCCAAAGCAACGTCGACAAGCCTTAACTTCAACCTCACAAACGAGTGACTGCATTGCCCCACTGGCTGTCCCCAGGCCCAGCCGGGTGACAACAATCTCTGCCAGCCTTTGCTCCTGGTTGTGGCAGTGAGTCCGTGTGCAGCCATGCACGGGGCTCCCACCACGGGCACGGTGGGGATGAGATCCCTCATCTCCCTGCTCAGGGATGTGCCACGGGAGCCTCCAGGCTCCAAGGATGAGCTGAGGGCAAGTTGGACTTGGCTTAAATAACAATTCATAGCGAGCCTCTGCCTCCAAAATTCCTTCCTCCCAAAAAAAAAAAAAAAGTTGAGAATCTTGAAAAGAGCAAATATTGAGAATTTTGAAAAGAGCAAATATTGAGAATTTTGAAAAGAACAAATATTGAGAATTTTTAAAAGAGCAAACACTGAGAATCTTGAAAAAGAGCAAACACTGAGAATCTTGAAAAGACAAGGCCCGCTCAGGCTGAGCTCAAAGCACTGACCTCAGGAGTTATTTTGTGAGGTTTTACCAGCACCAGCTGCTGGGTGAGGTCTCCTTATAATCCAAAATACTAACAACTCCTGTTCTAACCTGTCCACCAGCCACCAATGGATCGTCCATATGGGACATAAGAGCTATGGCTAATAGTAACTGGGCAAACATCACCTGGAGCCACAATTACTCTGCAGGAACTGACTTTGTGGTTAAGTATATCACCAGTAAGCATCAGATCGCGTGGGGACTCTACAGGGTGGTGGTGCCATCAGAGATCCTGCCAGCTCCCACTTAATTGATTGTCTTGATTACTGCGTGTGGAGGATGGGAGAGGAGAAGGTCCTGCTCCTCGTGGCTGTTTGGGGTGGACCAGAATCCTGAATCCCCTCCTCGTGTGTGAGATGTAGATGGGCAAGGCTGTTCCTTTGTGAACTGTGAGCTGGGCTGCACAAAGAGCCTTAAAACCACCTCCAACCCTGCGATCTGTGTGGATTGGAGGGCGCCTTCCGATGCCTTTGAACACGGGCTTTTTGAACCTGGAGTTGGCAGAATCCTCTGTGATCCCAAACCTCCTGTCATATCGGATATCGTTGTCTCTTAACGTTGTGAGGCTCGTGCTTAGTCTGGAAACTCGGGCTCTCTGGGCTCAGCTCTTGTTTAGAAGGATGTTGGGGTGTGTTGCTGGTTGTTCTGGGGTTTCCCAGACGGGCAGTGCTCGCTGCTTATCTCTGACTTTACTCCCCAGCCACCCCAGCCCTCCCAGCAGCTGCTGTGCCAGCCTGAAATGGGCATTTAAAACACACCAGTTAGACCAGGAAACCACTTAAACCATCCCTGAAGTGATGACCTTGAACTCTCTTTGCAACAACTCCCCGTGCAGAGCCAGGTCTCGCTCCGCAGCCCCCGGGGCTCCAGCAGGCCATGATTTCCATAATTCAGGATAACACCAGCTTGCCAAGCCCTAAATAATCCCACATCCCAGCTCCCAAAGCACCCTCTGCCAGCCCTGGTTTTCCCCCCTCGCTGGGAGCACAAAGCACAGGCGTTGCCCTTCCAGTGCCCACGTGCTGAGCTGCAGCAGCAGCAATCCCTTGGGATGCCCTCCCCAGGATCCAGCCCCGGGAGGAAATCTTGGAGATTTCAGCCCTTCCTGGACAGTCAGGGCTCTCCACCCTTTTTTGGTGGCGTTTGAGGCCATCAAATCCTCAAAGCCACGTTTCTCCTTCCCTGCAGCACCTCCAGAGCCACAGAGCCAAGCCCCACTGCAGGCTTGCTGGAATTCCATGGATAATGCTCAGAATTAAGCCCGTCCGCAAATGATTCCCAGCACAATGCAAAGAACAGGTTGTTCTTGGAAAGAACCCGGGAGCAACCAGCCCACGAGCAGCCCTTCTTGAGTCAAAGGGCTGAACTCTTCCCTCAAAAGCACCAACGTGCCAGCTGGGGTGGGCACTTCCACAGTTTAATGCATTATCCAGCTCATCCTTAACCCCCCAGAACACCTGATGCACAGGTATCACCCCCAACAGCACAAGGACCAGCTCCTTTACCAAGCCCTGCAGCACCTTCATCCAGCTGAGCACGACCAGGCAAATTTCAGCTTTTTTTTTTTTCTGTGCTAAACCCCCCAAATACCCGAACCCGAGGCTGGGCAGATAAAAAGAGCCAGGTCTTAAAAGCAGGGAGAGATCTGAGTAGCTCCCGGTTGATTTTTTTCCCCGGCGTGGCACGGGGGGTGTGCAGCACGACCCACCCCGCATTCCCGTATTCCCGTATTCCCGCATCCCTGATTCCCCCCGGGGAGCCGGCCCCGAGCCGTTCGCAGCTCGCTGTCGCGGGCACAAAGCCCTGCCCCGCAGGGTCGACACGGGGGATCGCGGAGCCTCCCGCGGCTGCCTTTGATGTGCGGTTTCTGTTTCTCAGGTAACAAGACAGAGAGATCTATCCCTGTTAAGGCTCAGACCCCTTCCTCTGTGCAGCTGGCGGATCTGACGCCGGGGATGATGTACAAGCTGTGGGTGTTCCCCATATGGTCTAGCCCCAGCGAGCACTCGTACATAACCTTTACCACCAGCTCAGGTGAGACAGCATGTGACATCCAGCACGGCATTCCCGTGGCGGGAGGTGGCTGGACTGCATGGAAAAAACCCTCATCCAACCCCCTCCTCACCCCCGACCACCGTTCAGGAGACAACCAGCAGGTTGCTCCACGTGGCAGCCCCAGGAAGGGCTTTGGGGGTGCCCGTGAAGGAAAGGGGGTTGCAGGAGGGTGGAGAACCCGCTCGGGGTGTCCCCGTGGCTCCGCTTGGGGCCCCCCCTCGGGGTGTCTGCGCTCCCTCGGCCGTGGGGATTGCACGTGTCCGGCCCCAGGATGTGCCAGAGGGGCTGGAGGGGACGGATCCGTGCTGGAATGCAGGACTGGGAGTGGGAACGTGGCGTTTGCACGGGTGGCATCTCTCGTCTGGCGCCGGGTTTGTTGGCACGAGCGATTCTCCAGGCTCAGCACCCCCAGAGGGTTTTCCAGCCCCCTGGCTCTGGGCTTCCTGCTGACCCCTGTTGACTCCCACGGGCACTTTATGCATTTGTAAAAACATCACCGTTCACACTCGGGGGGCTTCCAGGGAATCCAAACAGCCGTGATTCCCCCGTCGTATTCCCTGGATATTCCCTGGGGGGTTTCCGTAGGGATCTGCCTGTCAGGGCACAGCTCCAAACGCTCAGCTGGAAAACCACGGAGCAGGGAAACGCTGGAGCAGCCGCCCCTGATGGGTGTAGTGGGTAGAGGAGGGTGATTTTCAAGGAGCTGGAACGGTTTTGCTCCGATCCAGCCGAGCGATGGGAAACTCCAGCGCTCGCCGGGCTCTGCTGGGAAGGGCAGAGGGAAAATGGGATTCCCAGCAAGGCAGAGCCATGGGGAGGGGGAGCAGCTCCCCTCACCCCCCAGGCACATCCTGCTTGGTGTCTGAAAATTTGGCAAGCCTTAAATCCACTGAGTAACCCCCTGACGTGCTCAGATGACACAGGGACAGATGGCAGCTGCTGGTGTTCCACGGAATTGTTAAGGCTGGAAAAGACCTCTGAGGTCGTGGAGTCTGACCATTAACCCAGCACTGCCAAGGCCACCACTAACCCTTGGCCCCAGGTGCCACGTCCACGTGTGTTTTGCATGTCAGATGCTGCCCAGGAACACCCCGGGAGTGCTGCCCTTGGTTCTGCCCAGCCCTCATGTGCCCCCCCAGACTGCTCCGTTGCCTCGGGATGGGATCAAACCCACGGCACAGCAGCCCCTGGAACATTCTGCCCCCAGACCTTAGAGCTGATTCTTCAGCTCAGACTCTCCCCAGCACAGCTCCAGCTGCTGTGTAACATCCCCAACTTTGTTTCTCATTCCGGACCCTCCCCTGACTCCGAAATCACCACCAGCTCAACACCCCCCACCCCACCATGAGACTTATCCCTCTGGACAACTATTCCCAACCTGGACCCGCCTCTTTCCTGTTCTGCCCTGCTTCTCACCCACTTTGGGATCTGTGGGGGGAGTGAGGGGCCAGCAAGGGGCTGGGAATCATTAAAATAGGGGGGTTAAAAGGCAATATCCTTGGCTGATTCACGCTGGGAGACTCTGCATATGTTCTCCATAATTGGGAGGTTCCTACTGATATTTTCCTGGAGACTAAAGGAAGGGGGCACCTTTATCCCTGTGAGAGAGGCTGGTGGTGACCTGAGCCCTGGCACTGTGGGATGTGCATGAATAAATGCACATCCACTTCTCTGCTGGCTGGATCTGCTGACACAAGTGCTCGGCCCCCGCTGACAATCATATGCCATCAGGAATGCTTTGGACAAAAAAAAGCACTGTTCATATTTTATTTTTCTTTTTTTGGGGGGGCAGGGGTGGTTTTTCTATATTTTGCAAAGAGCTGTTTTAAAGGTTTCTTGAGTCTGAGGGCAGAGGAGGAAGAAATATCCCACCTGCACTGTGGCTACAGGACGCAGCCCTCTGGCTTTGCCTCTGATTAACTGGCAGCTCAGAGCCCCTCCCAGGAGCAAAGGACACTTTGAAAGAGCAGAAAGAGCTCAATATAAGGAGGTTTTCTACATTTGGAATAAATAAGTTCCTCAGCCTGGACAAACACTGTGTCCAGAGAAGGGAAAGGAGATGGTGAAGGGGCTGGAGAGTCCCATGAGGAGCAGCTGAGGGAGCTGGGAAGGGGCTGGAGAACCAGGAGAACTGAGGGAGCTGGGGGGGCTCAGCCTGGAGAAAAGGAGGCTCAGGGGGGACCTTCTGGCTCTGCAACCCCCTGACAGGAGGGGGGAGCCGGGGGGGGTCGGGCTCTGCTCCCAGGGAACAAGGGACAGGAGGAGAGGGAACGGCCTCAGGCTGTGCCAGGGGAGGGTCAGGTTGGACACCAGGAGGAATTTCTCCATGGAAAGGGTGGTCAGGCCTTGGAAGGGGCTGCCCAGGGAGGTGGGGGGGTCCCCACCCCTGGAGGTGTCCAAGGAAGGGCTGGATGTGGCACTGAGTGCTTTGGGCTGGGGGACAAGGTGGGGATGGGGCTCAGGGTGGACTCAGTGATCCTGGAGGGCTTTTCCAACCTCTGGGACTCTGGGAAAAGGATCCCCCAAGGCTGGAGATGGGGGGACTTCACATTCCCAGTGGTTCCCTTTGCAATTCCAGACAGACCCTTCCCTGCTGGGCGAGCACAGCTTTGCTCCTGACTCTTGGGTGACGTGTTTGCTGCCACCAGCTCATAATGAAGTTGGTTTTTTTTTAAAAAAAAAAGGCTCTGCAGTGGCATTTCCAATCAGGACCTGTGGGATTACACAGCTGCTTTCCCCTCCTTCTCCTTGATGTTGGCCTTCCATTAGAGCAAATCACAGTGTCCCTCTGACAGCCACGTCCTCCCTCTCCCCTCTCCCAACGCTGCAATGACAGTCACTCGTTTACCCCAAACACCAATTGCTGTGCCTCTAATTTGGTCCTCACGTGTTGCTTTTTTGGGAAGGATGGCAGTGACACCCCTACCTTGGTGACAGGTTCCTGCTGCAAGATCTCCTGGGGCTCAAAAGCCTCCTCCCTGCCTGTAAAACTCAGCTCCAACCCTCCAACCCTCCACCTCTCAGGCATTTGATACTTTGGAGACCCCCTTGTTTCTGGCTGTAAAAGCCCCATCCCATCACTGGTAATGCAATCTTTGTCCATCTCCAAGCTTCCTTCCCCTTCCCTCCCCGAGCACTCAGCTAATTGAATCCAGTTCTCAGCTCCACTGGGTTGTAATCTCATTGTCTCCTGTTAAAAGCACATCCTCGAGGACTGTGGGGCTCAGGTAAACGTGGAATTTGGCAGCATTAGGGGAAAAAAGCAGCCAGAGCAGCCAAGGCACTGTCAGGCAGCTCCTGGGTGAGCCCAGGAGGTCAGTGCTGCTCCCAAACACACAATGTTCAGGGTTTGACATCGTTTCTTTGCCGTTTTCCTTCTTGTCTTTTATCTGAATTTTATCTCTTTTACCTGAATTTCCTCATCGTGGTTTGTCTGCAGTTCCCTCCGTGGCTTAGATTTCATCCTGAGGAAAGGACTTCCCCTCCTGGGTTCAGTTCTGATGGGATAAGCACAGTTTAAGCCCTGAAATGCCTGAAAGTTTACCAACTCCACCCATTTTTCCAGGTGCTGTCTCTCTCGCAGGAACCTTTCATCCAGAACACATTCAGGGAGGGCAGTTCCATGCTTCTTGTCAGATTGCCATGACAAAAGGCTGCTCCCTGCCCCTCCCAGTTCCCAACTGGATCCCAAGCAGCCCAGCTCTCCCCCCAGGAACACCTCCGTGTTTTCCTGGGTAAATTTAGCCCCCCCTGCTGCGCTGAAGGTTATTTTCTCCTCTGCTCTGTCTTGCTGAATACCAAGTGCGTGTCAATGAGAGCCAGAAAATGGCAGCGTGGAGCTATTTGTCTGTCTGACCGTGCAGGAGAGCTGCAAACAAGGAGCCAGGGAACGTCAGGGAGGACACAGCAGTCAGGAGCTGTTTGGGGCACAGGACACTCCTTGCTGGGGATTAATGCCATGAGTAGTCATGAGCCTCCTGAGGGTGCTGGAAGCAGCGATAGGAAGGTTTTGCCCCAGGAGGAAACACTTTCCTGTGCCATCAAACCACCTCTCAGCTCCCTGGGACCCAGATGTTGTTCCTCAAAGCTGTTGCCACTGCTGCCTCCCCTCTTGTGCATCAGCCAGGTCTTGGGGGGCTCCCACGAGTCCCCTCCGAGCCCTGGGGACCCTCTGTGGCCCCCCAAGGGCAGCAGAGCCTCTGCCCATCCCCTCCAGGACTCCAGTTTATCCCTCAGGGCTCAGCACCCTCCTGGGGTCAGACACCAGGGCTGGATCCTCTTGGCCACGTTTGGCTCAGACCTTCTCCCTTCCCAGGGCAGCTTCCACACCCGGCCAACAAAAGCTCCAACCCGTCCCCCAGCTGCTTCTGCCGTGACTTTCTGCCCCTTTCCCCCTGCTCTGTGCCAGCTCTCACTTCGTGCTGTGCCCTTTGGCTGTTTGCAGCTCCTGGGGGAACGCTGAGCTGACCAACCACCACGAAATGGAAGCAAAAAACCCACCCCAACCCCCCTCCCCAGACGTTGTGCTGCAGCCTCAGATCCTCTGACACACCCAGAGGGATTCCCAAACCAGCGACCTGTCCTGCTCTTCAGCTCTTCCCCCCTGTGCTCCTGCTCTGTTCCCTCACAGCTGCTTTTTTTGTGTCGCCCTCCCCTCCCCAGCCTACACCAAGAACCAGGTGGACATCGCCACGCAGGGCTGGTTCATCGGGCTCATGTGTGCCATCGCCCTGCTCGTGCTCATCCTGCTCATCGTCTGCTTCATCAAGAGGAGCAGAGGGGGCAAGTACCCAGGTGAGGCTCCCAGGGTGGGCATGGCCAGGCTGTGTCTCTCTGGGATCGCTGGGATTACCGGGATTTCCTTCCTCTGTTGTTGGTGGGGAGAGTTTTGGGCTGTTCCAGGCCGGGTTCAGAGCTGGGCTCTGCTGCTGGGCTCTAAAAAAGCCCCCCCTCTGCACATCTCCCCGTCCTCAGCTGGAAAAAGAGCTTCTCGGGCAAAAATCTTGTCAAATTTCTGCAAAGCAAAGGGAAGACTGAAGGGAATCCTCCAGTTAATGCCCCCTGTCACTCCTGTCTGGAGCGCTCGTGGTGCCACACCCGGCACCTTTTGCAAACCCTTTGAGAACCCTCTGTAAGTCCTTCTGCAAACCCTCTGGAGGCTCTCCCGGGGGCAGGTTTTTTACCTGTCCATGAGCAGTTACCCTTCAACCCCCCCAGGGGTGTCACAGACCCCCCCAAGCCCCCCAGCTGCTGGTGCTGCCTCGTAAATCTTTGATTTCCTGCCCTGCTTTTAACGTGCCTGGTGGGGCTCTGCTTGTTTCCAGTCCGGGACAATAAAGATGAGCACCTAAATCCCGAAGACAAGAACGTGGAGGATGGATCCTTTGACTACAGGTACGTTCCTGTGGCATGTGGACCCCCCCCAGCCCCCCATCAGCCCCTGTCCCAGCCATCACAGCCCTCACCACGCTCTTCTCCCAAAACCACAGCCCCCCGGGGCCACACAGCCTCTGAAATGATTCCTCCCACCTTCCTCCTCCTGCCTCCTTCCCTCTGAGAGTCCTCTGCCAAAGGAAACCCTTCCTGAGGAACCAGGTTGGGAGGAGGATGCTCAGGGCTCCTCCTTCCCCCGTCTCAGCCTGGGATGAGCAGTCTGGGCAGAGCTGGGATCTGGCATCAGCTACATGGGACAGCTCTCAGCGGGAGCAGACCAACCTCGATGACACTCCAAACACAGAAAATCCCCCCAAAAAACCAAACTTTGTGTCAGCCTGAGGGTATTTCTGGAGCGTCTCCCTGTAGCTCAGCCTCTCTCCTGCCCACGGGGAGTATCCAGGGGAGAAATGCCCAAAGTTCTGTTTGGATCAGCCCTGTGAGCACACAGGAACTCTGATTTGGGGGTCTGCCTGCGTGCCAAACAAGGAATTTTCTGTGAGGTCACCCCACCCAAACCCCCTTGGAGGGCTCCAGCCCAGCAGGGGTTCAGCCCAAACCTCTCCGGCTTCCCCCGGCTCCACTCTGCTGCTTGCACGCAAATGTCACCCTTTAAAGAGCAGCAGAGAACCCTTTTCCACCCCAGGAAAACTCCCAGGATGTGTCAGAAAGGGACAGGCAGGTTCCCAAGCATTCCCAGCTCTGCTGCTCTCCGTGGCTGCCCCCGGGAGCGGGAGCAGGTCCCGCTGTCAGGTCTCATCGCGTCTCATCACCCCCCCTGACAGGTGAAGGGATGTTTTCCAGCACCTCCACTGGGCTTGGCTTTGCTTTACAGAACTAAAATGCCCTTTTTTCCCCCATCTGAGCTGGATCCAAAGCCCAATCAGGCCAGCAGGAATTTTTCTCCTGCCTTAGAACGGGGGTTAACTCCACCCCAGGCCATTCCCGATGCTCCCAGCGTCACAAAGCGAGGGAGCAAAGGTGGGAGGAATTTAGCTGGGATTCAGTGAGGGGTGGAAGAGGACACACGTGTTCTGCCAGAGACTTTAGGGGAAGCCAAACAAGCCTGGCTGCACACCCCAATAAATGGAGGCAGAACAACTGCAGCCTCCCCGAGATCATGTCTGTGCTGTTGGGGGCACAGAAACCCCATTTCAGCAGCGATTCCTCCTCTCCGAAGGATGTCATTAAAGCCCAAAGCTCCTCAGTCCTCTGAGGGCACAACACAGAATACAAATACACCCAGCAGGGCCCAGAATAAGCAGCATGTTGTAGGGAAAGGCTGATGTTCTTTATTGCCCTGAACAACACTCGGGGACAAAACCTTCCTCACCATGCCGGGAGAGCTGCTCAGCACTTGGAGGGGTGGCAGTAAATCCACACAGAGGTTTCTGGGCATGTTCCATTCAGATTCCTGGCTGAGAACAGCAGAGGAGACATAGCTCAGCCTGGTCCTGGTGCAGGTTTTGCCCCTGATCAAAGACATCCCTTCCCAGGCGTGATTTTACCCGTGCTCCTGGTGCAGGTCAGAGCCGTAACCCCAGCTCGGGTCCAGAACAATCCCCCTGTGATTTCAGTCTGACAGGGAGCCTCTTGGTTCCCAGAGCTGTGGGATGGTGTGAATCCCACGTAGGAAGCCTCAAACCCCTCATCCCCCCTGAGGTTTCCCCCCACACCCCCCCCCAGGCTCAGCTCATCCCCTGGAGCTCAGCCCAGGCTGCCCGGCCGAGCTCCTGGCAGTACCCCCCCATTTCACAGCTCTGCTTCTTCTCCAGGGGCCACCAGGGTGGTCCCAGCCGAGGCCTCCTCGCCCCCATCCATCGCTCCCGAGGCAAATCCATTGCCAGGGGCCACTTGCCTGGCACAGAAGGCAATCCAAGCTCTTGGCATGGCTGGCAGCAGTGCTGCACTCGCTGCCCCAGCACCATCCAAGGCACAGTGACTTCCAGGCCAGGGGAAGGAATGGGGGAAATCCTTCACCCTCCTGCTTTAGCTGAGGCTCCATCTTTTGTTGGCAGCCCCGTTCCCAAAAGTTTGCAGGCTAAAGGCACAGGTCAGCTGGAGGACAACAACCAAGCTCCAGGATGCTCCCACGTTTTCAATCACTAAACAGAGGGGGGGGGAAAAACCCCAATCAAACAAGAACAACCAAAAAACCCCAACAACCCATAAACTTGGCCCCCTCCTCGGGAACAACAGGTTTCCTGGGAGAGAAGCAGTAGGAGGCTTCCCCTCAAGGAGGCAGAAAGGAAGGTGAAGCTGAAGGATGGCTACGAAACGCTGGTGGCTGATTAAGATTAGAAATGATGGTGATGTTGGGCTCGAGGAGGGGAGCAATTAGTGTTTCGAGCAAGGACAGGGACTGAGCTGACGTGAGTCCTTCGGTGGCTCCCCCTCCCCACCTCCACATGGCATGTCTGATGTGCTCCCATCACACCTCACGTCCTCAGTGCCCCCCGTGCATGCGACTCGCAGGTCTCTGCAGCCCGTAATTAATTTAATTAAGAGATGCTGTCACGTCTTCCCCTTCCACTCACGGAATAATGGTTTTCCCGAGCACAGGCTAAAGCTGAGGAAGCTTATTTTCCAAAGCAGGGAGACCATTATCCTTGGACAATGTTCTGTGCCAGTGGCTGTGCCTCATTATACCAAATGTTCCAACGCTGCACGTGGGGGAGTCGGCGGGAAAGCCGGGATGCTGGGAAGGGAAAGTGGAGTGCTTTGAGCTGCTGGATTCCAGCTGAGGGTCAGGGCAGTCCCGTGGCAGAGGGTCCACGCTGCAGGCAGTGCCAGCTTGCCAGAATGGGCCCCCTCAGCAGGGCAGGAGGACACAGACCCTCCTCAGGGCCGCGGGAGGGCTCTGCAGGAGCAGCCCGGGCAGGGGCAGGTCTGGCAGTCGGGGACACGACCCGGGCCCTGGCGTGGAGATCCAGCACAAGGTTGGAGGGGAAACCAAGAGCCACCCTTTCCCTTGGCCCTTGTCCTGCTGCATGTTGGTCCCCAGAGCCACCACTGCCCCCGACAGCTGCTCCCTGGTGAACTCCAGCCACATCCCAGCGAGGCTCGTGCAGCTCCCAGCAGCGAGCCCTGTTTGGTATAACGAGGCAGCCGAGGAACGCGGGCCTTTCTCTTTTGGTTTTTAGCACTGCCCCCTGTAAATGCAGAGCTCATCATATCTCTCTCTCTGATCAGGCTCTTTTCTGCTTCTCTCTGTTTTATTCCCATTCTTTCTTCTCCTTTTCACCTGGTCTATCCACATGGACCATGAAGGTCTCTTGAAAGGTAGGACCACGTGCTGCCAGAAGTCCGGCACATTTAGCTTTTTTTTTTTTTTTTAATTTATTTTCCTTCCTTCTGCCCACTGATTTCATTACAGCCAAAACAACCCCTCCCCCCGTTCCCGTGTTCCTGCCTCACCTAACACATTAAACGAGACCCCTCTAACTCCTGCTGGCCCTGGGGGTACCCCCACATCCAGCAAATTGCTCCCTGGGCTGCGGGGTCCCCCCAGGAACCAGCCAGGCCCCCCCAGATGGAGCTGCTGAGCCTCCTGGTGCAGCAGGGTTGGACCTGGGAACGATGCCCTTGGTGCCCTCAGCACCTTGGTGTCCTCACCCTCAGGGGTGGGGACGAGGGACACGAGCCCGAACCGCTGGATCCTGAGACGCTCTTTGTCTCAGCCCTGCAAACCCTCCCTCTGGCTCAAGCCTCCCCCTCTTCCCGAGGATTTATGGCACTCAGGACAACGTCTCCCAGCTGGTTTTTCCATCTGGGTGCCCTGGTTCTCTAATGCCCACCCGGCAGAGCCCCGGGAATCCATTTGTTGGGGTCGGGTTACATCGAGGGGCTGGTGAGTCTCTGCTGCACCCTCCCAATGCACTAACGGGATAAATGGGCCTGGAGAGAGGTAAAAACCAGGGGGAACGCCCAGGAAATGCATTTTTCCCATTTAGGGAAAAATCTGGCTCTGGATCCAGCTTTACCTGCCCCCCAAACCTTGGGAAAGGACGTTGCCAATGAAGGGATCTGGGTTTTGCCACTCTCTACTTTTGGGGCTTTCTAACCTTCAGTCCTGCTTGCAGACTGAACTCTTCCTCTCCCACCACCCTCTTACCCCCCCCCCAAAAAAAAAAGCTGCTTTCAGAGCTAACAAGTTGTTTTTTACTGTGATGCCAAGTTAACATGAGGTCTCAAACCCTGGGTTTTTGGTGCTGCTTCGTTCCCAAAGTGCTGATCCGAGGAAACACGGGGGGAAAGCTGCCTGTGGTGCCCTGGGACACCAAATTCCTCTCCCACTGCGGAGCTGATGCCGTTAATTAGACAGAATGAGGGAGAATTAATGCCTTCCCAGTTTGCTCCTGGGCCCAAGCAAAGTGCAAAAATAAAATAAAAAAAAGCCCAGTATTTTTACCTGTTTTAAGGAAAGCAAAGGAGCAGAGCAGGGGGAGCGAGTCTGACAAGCCCCGAGCCAAAACAACAGCAATAAAAAGACAGGAGTGGAGGTGGGAGCACAAATATTTAAGGTCTAAAGGTGATATCTTCCAGAATACAACAGAATTTGCAAGCTGGACATAAGATCAAACAAGAACTAAGGACTAGCTGATATGAAAATTAATTGTTATATATATATTTATATATAAAGAGAGAGAGAGAGGGAGAATCCACTCTCATCCTCCACAAAATATCGTCTCTATTTATGAGATCCCAGCCCTTCCCCTCCAGAGGGAAAACAGCTTTTCCCCGTTTAGTTTTTTTGTTAAAAGGCTTTCTTTAAAGTGGTGGTGGTTTTTTTTCCCCTGTGGGTCAAACTCTTTATTTTCCAGTGACCTGGCTTAAATCTTTCTAGTGGGGAAAAATAAAATAAAAAAAAAAGAAGAGAGAGAAAAGCATAAAGAATTGGGGGCTCAGAAATAAGTGAACGAGCCCAGAAATAAGCTGAGAAAGGTGAATTCCCACGAGTTTTGGAAGCTGCACAGAACTTGGCATCCTCCACGTGCCCCCTTGCAGTGCTTGGAGTGCCCTCCCATTGCATGTGGTTCCCAAAACAGTGTGTTTTTGGCGAGGAAATCCGGCAACAAACCACTTAAACCGGGTTAGAAAGAAAGAAAGAAGGAATAAAAGCGGTGACAGAGCAGCGGCGAGGGAAGGGCGTTTCCAAAGTACACCCGAGAATCGCAGGTGATAGAGGTTAAAAACCTGATTTTTATGATAGAAAAAAGGTGAAGGTCGGGCGTGGGCCCCCCTTCCCCTGCCCATCAGCCCCCCCACGACAGCCCCAGCACCCCCTTGGCTGGATTCGGTGTCGAGCGCTCCCAGGCCCCGTTTCTCACCCCTCACCGTGTCTGTCTGTCTGTCTGTCTGTCTGTCCTCTGCCACCCAGCGATGAAGACAACAAACCTCTTCCCAACAGCCAGACGTCGCTGGACGGGACGATAAAGCAGCAGGAGAGCGACGACAGCCTGGTGGACTATGGAGAGGGGGGAGAAGGGCAGTTCAACGAGGACGGCTCCTTCATCGGCCAGTACACCGTCAAGAAGGACAAGGAGGAGACCGAAGGCAACGAGAGCTCCGAGGCCACCTCCCCTGTCAACGCCATCTACTCGTTGGCATAGCCCAGTGCCCGGGAACACCGACAGCCTGAGGGGGTCCGGAGGGCCTGGGGGGGGTCCCACAGCAGCCCCCCCCCCCCCCGATGGGAATGTGGGAATGGAACCAACCGAGGAAAAAACGAAACGAAAACAAAAAAAGGGGAAAAACAAAAGAGAAAAAAAAAAAGAAAAAACAAACAAACACACACAGAAAAAAAAAAAATAATAGAAAAGAATCCAAGCAAACAGGCAGCCCAGGAGGCTGCCCAGGCCATTTATCCTTAGCAAACAAGCCAAGGGACTCGCGGGGTCGGAGCTGGGGCGGAGATTCCAGAGGGGCTGGAAGGGGAGATGCTCGAGGTGAACCCCAGTTTTGGGGCTGCCCCCCAGCCCAGAGCCAGCCCCGAGGGGCTGCAGGGTGGGCTGGGCCGCCCAGACCCCCCTCCCCCAGGGCCCTTTCTGTTCTTTTGGGAGGGAGCTGAAAATTCTTCTATTTAATTTTGCCAGGAAGGTTCTGGATAAGAGGGGAGGGGTAGAAATAAAGCCAAGAGTTTGGGGGAGGGAAGGGGGGTGAGAGGGGCCTGGGCAGAGCAGCACAAATGTGGGAGAGGAGGAAAGCGATGGATCTTTGGGTGATAACACACTGTACTCCTGAGCCATCCATCCTCACGGCAGCACCTCGCCCAGGGCCTCTCCCAAAACAGCCAGAGCCACAACCTCCTTCCCCGGAGATCGAGCAGCACCTCTGCAGGGAGAGCAGGTCCCCAGCACCCCCCCAGCACCTCCCCCCTGCAGAGCCCACAAGAGCTCACCCAGAGCACCCTCGGAGGACAAGAGGCTGCAGAAGGGCTCGTGGGACCGGTGGAAGGACAGTGAGGTGCCTCCCACCCCCCCAAGCCCCGGGGGAACAGCACTGCAGGCAAACCAACCATCGGGGTTCAGCCTTTGCTTTGGAAGGATCTGGGGGGCACCTGCCCCCAGCCCACACCTGCTTTCTTTTAAAGGCAACTCCATAAATCTTATGTAGCAAAGAGGGAGTGGAAGCAGGACCAGGATGAGGGGGCCGGAAATCACTTGTTTTTTGGAAGGGAATCAAAGGCAGAGGGTGAGGATGGAAGGACCCCCCGGGTTCGGGTGGAGCATCCCCCAGAGCTGCAGCTCGGAGGGCTCAGGGACACCCCAGGAAGGCACGTGGTGGGAACCCAGGAGCCCAGTCCACACCTCCCCAGGCTCTGGGACGAGCCAGACGGACAGTGTGTCCCACTAACCCCCCTCCTCATTTCTGACAGTGGCCTTTCCCCCCTCCATCAATCAGCCTGAGCGAGCCCCTTCCCCGTGGGACCCCCCCCAGACCCCCGCTGTCTTCTCTACATATCAACCCCCCGCATTTAACACCCCCAGCTCGGGTAGGAGCGCTGCTCCACATGCCTTACACAGCTTGGAACTTCCCGGGGACTTCACCGAACTGGCACTCTCCGACCCCCAGGGCAGCAGGAGCAGGACGGCCGGGCAGCATTCCCGGCTGGCACAGCACGGATCCCGGCTGGCACAGCACGGATCACGCAGGAGGAGGCAGAGCTGTGGACCAGCCCGTGTTCAGTGGCCAAAGCCACGCGTGTCCTCCCAGCTCCTGCACTTCTGAAACCAAAGGTACCTTCGCTGAGAGAGAGATCCAAGGGTTGGTTCCTCCGGACCACGAGCGACGTCGGGATGGATTTTTGTTTCCTTTTTTTTTTTTCCCCCTGAGGAGGATGTTTTTCTTTGTGTTCAGCACAGTGGATTGATTGCCACGGGATTAATGCAATTGTTCTTTCAGCTCTCAAGCTGGTTTGCTCTGCAGACACGTCGCTAGAACGGGAACACTTCTGCTGCTGGGGGTTGGTGAGAGGGCCACGTCCTTTGAGCTGCCCGTGGCAGGAGGATCCCGGGCCTGAGCACCTGTGTGGCTCCTGCTGCTGATCCCGCAGGGAAAACGGGAGGGAAGGATGCAGCTTAAATGCCTCCCTTAAAAAAATAACCCTAATTTATCCCGGCGGGCACAGCCTGCCCTCCCTGGCACCCTGCCTGTGTGTGACAGCACAGGAACCCCAGGAGTGCAGGACATGGGGGGACACTGCCGTGGGTCCCTGATCCCGAGGCTGCTCCCGTCCTCCCTGGAGTGCTGGCGCAGCCAGAGGCGGAAAAAGCAGCGGGAAAAACCGGGAGTTTTGGTCCGAGCCCTGAAATCCTGGAAGCCCACGGAAACCCGAGGGGACACCAGGTCACGACGCCCCCCCCAGCGTCCCCTGTGCCAGCATTGCCTTCTCGCGGGTGACAGACCCCGATCCCACGCGTCACAGTCACTTCTGACCCCAGGGAGCGACGAGGAGCTGCCGCTCCTGCCGCCGACCCCGCCGGGGGGGGAGCGGGAGGGTGGAGGGCAGGGCTGGGCAGTGCCACCCCTCGCCACCCTGGCACACGCGGCCCCTCTCTCAGGCCGTGCCACCGCCTCTCCTGGCACATCCCACCGCCTCTCCTCGTCGCGCAGGTCCCAGCGGAGCTGCGAGTTCGCCCCGCAACGCCTCACCCTCGTGCCAGGCTTAGCGTGTGTAACTTAGCAGCAAACCCGGTTTCAGTTTAAGCAATAAAAAAAAGAAACTTGTTTTAAAGAAAAAAAAAAAAAAAAGAAAAAAAGAAAAGAAAAAAAAAAG